ATTGAGTATCAGAAGAAAATTTAAAATTCAGATATAAATTCTTCGAGAAATATTTTCTCTTGGTTTAGTAAAATTTCATTGTTAATGGATTAGGTTACCAAGGTCATTCTTTGAACATAATTTTTATTAAAATTGATGTTAGAAATTTCCCCAAACTCTTGTTAATTATCTAGACTCACAGAAATCAATTAAAATGACTTGAAAACATGATAAGCATAGTTTATTTTAAAAATGATACTATGAGTTTGTTTCTTTCCAGCTGGCCTTAAAATGCCAGGGACAAAGGGTCTGGAGGTCAGGCTGTCTTAAAGCCCCAACCCTCTAATCACATCATTGGTCTTTCTGGTGACCAGCCCTCATCCTGAGCCATCTACTCTCATAGCATAAACTCAGATGTAGTCCCATCAGCCTATGAATGACAAAGATACTTCTATTGCTTAGGGAATTCTAGGATGTAGAGTCTCGATTCCAGAAACGAGGGACAAAGGCCAGTTAGATTATTCTTCATTCAACAGGAGCAAAAGCATTATTTTACTTAAAATGATTTCCTTGTCTATTTTAAACATTTGCTTATACATTCCAAAGCTATGTTTTAATTATAGCTAATCTTTCTTTTCCTTTAGGAATCTGGAGCACCTATTCTAACAGATGATGTTAGTTTACAAGTGTTTATGGATCACTTGAAGAAACTTGCTGTGTCAAGTGCTGCCTGAAGTGCTAAACATTTAAGGACATTTAAGAAGATAAAATAATATTCCAATTTCATTTTTTCCTTTTTCAATTTATCTGTGGAAACCAACAGAGATCTCTCTCTAGACTTTTTTTTGTTTTAGTATAGTTTGAGACAACATAAGGAAAAATGTTCACGTTTGTAGATTAAGCTGGAATATAATGAGAGCAATAAGAACAAATTTGTTTTGCCTGCCACAGTATTATAACTGGGTTTAGAAATTTGAGGTCTTTATAACTGAATTATGTTTGAGGGTAAAAATAAAGTCTGCCTTATACTGCAGATATCTCACTCATTTGTATATTGCAGACAAATGCAAAGCGGCACTGACTGTCCTTGCTGACATTTTAGAAACTTGTTTCTTAATTTTAGCCAGAAAGTAAAAAAAAAAAAAAAAAAAAGTAATGATAAATGTGAACATTTTTCCTTACTCCACTTTTTGTGATTTTCAGCTCTTACGTATACACTTTTTCTGTACTTAGTCTGTTAAGACAGATTTATTTTTATGATGATTTGTTTAGGAATTATTTGACTTTATAATGGTAATTTTCATGAAGATAATTTAATGGTTTTTGGGTAGATGGAAAAGTAGTTTAGAGATGAAAAGTTTTTGGGGGTAATGATCCCACACTGACAATAAATGTGAAATTTCTACAAAGTACCCAACTTATGTGGTAAAACATGATGATAATTTTTTAAAAGGGAGATAGACAATAAATCATTTTGTCAGAGTGCATTTTAGTAAGCCTTTGCAGTAAAATGACTCTTGTAAGCTACTAAACCAATTTGGTTTTCACTGCATGGTTTTGTTGTTTCCCCTTGTTTTTCTGAGGTAAATTTTATATTATATTCTTCAGTATTTTAACACTACTTTGGGAGTTTACACATTACTTTGTTTTTGCTTCCTTTTTGTGAAATTTATTAAGTTGTGGTTCTTTTTGAGACAGTATTATGTAATGTTTGTTTAATTATGTCATGTGGTGATGCTCAGTTCTATTTTGATTTATTCAGTAGTATCATTCAGTTTTATCATTTAAAGTTTACTTATAGCAAATATGTTTACATTGCTAAAGCCAGATGTGTTTTGACAATGAAATTTATGTATCAAGTACTGCAAATAAAAGGTGGTGCTATGATATATTATTAGAAGGACAAGTTTTGATGATTGTATTTGCATGAACACAATCATATGATGGTAAAACAGAAACTTAAGAAAAAATTGTTTATATGATATATTCAATTAGCTTAAATAAATTACTTTGTTCTGTTTTATTTGAATTGGACTGTGCTAGGCCTAAATGCCAATAAAATATACTTTTCTCTGGTTTTTTTTTATGCTTATTTTGAAATCTAGTAAAGCCTAAGAAGCCTAATGTAAAATTAGAGCATTTAAAATCTAATAGTGGATTTAAAGTTACCCATTTAAAAAATAACAGCTTTATTGAGATATAATTTACATTACCATACATATTTTCATAGAGTTGTATAACCATTACCACAATTAGTTTTAGAGCATTTTCATCACAGTGAAAATAGTTATTCATTTTTGCTATAAGGTTAGTTTGTTTTGGAGTTCACATGTTTTGAAAAGAGGAAAGATGATGTTACCTGTTTAATTTACTTGGCCCCTTAAATTATGTTCATTAAGAATGCTATCTTGAGGCTTGAGTAATAAGATGGTACTTACCCCTAAACTGTCCTCTACTTCTAAATCATTTATAGCTGAAAGTGCTAACATACTAACATGTATTTAAGGGATAAGGATAAACAAATATATTAACATCATACCCTTTTAGCTTACCATTTAAAAGGGTCTTGCTCTGTCACCCAGGCTGGAGTGCAATGGCATGGTCATAGCTCACTTTAGTCTCCTGGGCTTAAACAGTCCAGTCCTCCTATCTCAGCCTCCGAGGACTACAGGTGTACAACCATGCCTGACTAAAACCATTTTTTGTTTGGTAGAGAGGGGGTCCTGCTATGTTGCCCAGGCTGGTCTTGAACTCCTTGCCTCAAGTGATCCTCCCTCCTTGACCTTCCAAAGTGCTGAGATTACAGGTGTGAGCCACCATGCCTGGCCATCCTGGGTCATTTTTGTGTATACTTTAGCTACTTCTAAATTGTTAGCTATTTAAATAGACTGCTGGGAAAATGTTTAGCCCTTGTCTTATTCCATTGAGGCTGCTAGAACAAATACCTTAGACTGGGTAATTTATAAACAACATAAATTTATTTCTCACATTTCTGGAGGCTGGGAAATCCAAGATCAAGGTGCCAGTAGCTTTGGTGTCTGGTGATGGCTTTCTTCTTCATAGATGGCACCTTCTGTGTGTTCTCAAATGGTGGAAGGGAGGGAAGTGAACCAGCTCTCCCAGACCTCTTTTGTAAGGGCACTAATCTCATGAGGGCAGAGCCCTCATGCCCTAGTCACCTTTAAAGGCCCCACTTCTAAATACCATATTGGAGATTAGGTTTTATTGTATGAATTTTGAAGGGACCCAAACATTTAAACCATAGTACCCCTTTAAAGAATTTAGAGTGGGTAAAGAATATTTGCTAAATTATCAACAGCACAGAGAGGCTTTGGTATATTACCCAGAAGTATTTTGGAATTCATTCTTTTTCTTTTTCTTTTTTTGAGACAGAGTCTCCCTCTGTTGCCCGGGCTAGAGTGCTGTGGCGTCAGCCTAGCTCACAGCAACCTCAAACTCCTGGGCCCAAGGGAGCCTCCTGCCTCAGCCTCCTGAGAAGCTGGGACTACAGGCATGTGCCACCATGCCCAGCTAATTTTTTCTATATGTTTTTAGTTGGCCAATTAATTTCTTTCTATTTTTAGTAGAGATAGGGTCTTGCTTTTGCTCAGGATTATCTTGAACTCCTGACCTTGAGCGATCCGCTTGCCTGTCTTCCCATAGTGCTAGGATTACAGGCGTGAGCTACCGCACCTGGCCCTGGAATTTATTCTTGAACCTACCACTTCTATTGGCATAATCTGTAAAAATAACCCGAGACCTCATCTACTGTGTTACCCTGAAAATAAGACCTACCCATAAAATAAGCCCTAGCAGGATTTCTAAGCATTCATGCAATATAAGCCCTACCCTGAAAATAAGACCTCGTGATGGCTGTGGCTATGCAGCCTATCTGCACAACCCATGCATTTTGTCACGGAGCGGTAAAGAAGATGAGCAGCCCTTCTCATCTGCCCCAGGAGAGCTCTATTGCTCGACATGAGAGACTGGGGCCAATGGTTCTAAAGGAAATAGAGTTGCAAGAAATTCAGGATGGAATTCGGGATTTGGAGAGTTATGATGATGTTCCAGAAGAAGATGACTTACTTAACTATATTTGAATAAATGTAGTTTGTTGTAGCATACTTAAAAAAAATAACACATCCCCTGAAAATAAGCCCTAGGGTGTCTGTCTTCTTGAGGAAAAATAAATATAA